ATAGAATCCGACCCTACTTTCTATGGTATACAAGGGCAAACGAGCATGCCGGTCACCTGATGGTAAGTGACTACGGCCGTCGCAGTTCAAGAGGCACAAAAGGTACTTGTGAGAGGCACAAGTACCTTGCCGCCCTTTCAGTCCCTTCCCCCAGAATCATAGGGAGGGGAAGGATTTGGGCTACTGTAATCTCAATCACTTGGTGAAAAGCAACCAAAGAACTGCTTAACACCGGTTTTGTGTGAGGCCGCGATATTATTGCGATAGAGGCTGGCATTTTTGTAAATTTTCCCAAAAAAAAAAGTTACTGACATTCAGTATAATGTACAGGGTCACATCATCAATAATGTAAAATCTGTTATAATGCCTAATGTGTATATAATATACAATCGTACTCATTTCATAATGATTTATTTATAAATAGCTTTTTAAATGTCGGCTATCGCGATAAAAAGAAGCCTATGTCATTCCTCAAGAATCAAAGTATCTTCATACCCTACACAGGTTTACCCTAGTTCAGGCAGGCAGCGACTAAAGTTTTTAACAAAATTGTAATATCTTTAGGTGTGGAAAATTATACAATATGAATCATACAACCATATGAATAAAATAATACTACTGTAGATTTACTGTAAAAATAAAAAATATTATCAAATTTCATCTAAATTGGTTTAGCGGTTATTCATTCCCTATACAAACTTCCACCTCCCTTTTCATCCCCTAAAGGATGATTTCTGGGATAAAAACTACCCTTTGTCTTAATCCTAAATCGGTTTAAGCGTGAAGAGGTAAGACAGAAAGACAGACACACTTTCGGATTTATAATATTAGTATGGATTATTCATAGATTATAGTAAAATATAGATAAAGTACGCATTTTGTAAATCAAAGGATATTAATAGTCGGGAATATTATAGTATACTCCACTGCTCTGAATGAACCGCATTATGATAAAAGTAATTTATATTGCATTAATCGTGCGTAGGTTCATAGCGGTAAATTAATGGTAGCGAATCCGGCGTCTGGATCTCGAGGTGGCTCTGCACAAAATTCAAAGGCCATGAAGCCACCTGAGGGATCCAGCCTCATAGTAGGAGGCACTCGCATGCAGCATCAAGTTCTCGATGAGGTATCTATGGCTGGTACTCGATGGCCGATGGGACTTCGGACATCATTTCCGAGGTCTGATCCCCAAGTTGGTTGGAGCAGCGCATGATTTGGCGGGGCTGGTGCCCAACATTAGGGGACCCGATGACTCCTGCAGGAGACTACTCGGAGGTTGTGCGGTCCATGGCTCTTTATGGGGCCCCAGTATGGACGGGGGCCCCGAAGGCCAGCAACGTCACACTATTGCGACGACCACAGCAGTTTTTAGTCGGTTCGAGTCCGACAAAGCCACCGGTGGGTAGTATCCGAGGGGATTACCGCACAGAAAAAAAAGGTGCATAATTCAGTGTCGCAAATCTGCAATCCTGTTCTTTACTGTTACTTACTTTACTTTTTCTGTTTCACTGATATTATTTTAAAATTTGATTGTATTTTATTTAATCCTGCTTTAATTAATATTGTGTAGAATTTAATAAGTATAAAGAAATTCTAAAGCAGAATAATAAAAACGGGCGATTTCTTTTCGAATATCTATATATCTTTATGTTAGTAACAAATATCTACTTTCCGTATCTAGAATCTGTATCCGTGAGAAATCTATTTCTACCTGCCTGCCAGCGTGTACGCCTCTTGCGACATCAGTCAAGTCTGCAATATGAAACAAAGAATTGTTTAAGAGCCATATTTCTTTTTTTTGCCAAGAAAATAATGAATGTCAAGGATCTTTCAAAATTAAACATTATGGAATGACCTATAAATCAAATCTGGAATTGTTGGGCTTTCTCCTCTACTTCTACCTTCTAGGTGCTAAATACCAGGAAGAGGTAAGATCTATGGTTGAGAGGCAATTCAGAGGCTTGAGTTTTACGGCTCGTTACGGTTAATTACAAGTTAGGCGTTTGTTCACCACATAGTGCTATATACAAACGAAATATAAATATTGTACAATGTGTTAAACTTCAAATAAGCTCTACTATAAAATGACGTTGTAACTATAATAAACTATATTAGCTCTTTATTTTTCGTTATGAAAAACAATGTATATTTTTCTGATTTATTGCTATTTCTTGGTTATGGAAAGCCTGTTTGGTGCGATAGCGTAAAATTGTTTACCCCTTGTCAAACGCGAGCATCAGGCGTGAATGTTTGACAATGAATGGGGCATTCATGTATGGAAATAAAAAAAACACATGTTCAGTCCTTTGGAGGGATGTGGTGAAAGAAATCAGTTTTTATTTACATATAATGTTACGTGTAATTTTCATCAATTAAGGAGAAAGAATGCGTTGTATCGTCCATAGTGTTATTTGATCTGTTGCCTTCGTAACTCAGGCATCAAGAAGGAGCGAGATAGTGAGAGAGGGATCAGCGAGACCTTTTAGATAAGCACTTACTTTTCTGGTCGCTTCAAACTTTACCAGTAAAACACCGAGTATCCAAAACCTAACAAAGTTGTTTGAGAGATTGGTGGTGAAACATAGGATGAAATATGTTAAGTGAACTTACCATTATGTTTTTGTATTTTCCCTTAATTAGTGAGGCCGTATGTCGGACTGAGACCGGAGCAACGCCGCAACTGTACGTCTTCATTTTATGATTAGCTGTGATTAATTTAACGAGTGTAATGATTTTTAAGGGCAGGTTTTTTCATGTACTATTAAAACTCAATACATACCTATATAATGGGATTATTATTATGAGACGAGTAGGTGTTACGAGTGTGGATGATAGACAATGGGGGCTATTTTGATTTCAGCTGAACTACTTTTATAATAGATACCTGTATAACAGGTATTATGACTGCCTAATTACTGTGGGGAATACTTTTGATACCAAACTGGTCATGTCGTTATTATACAGCGTCTGAGCGTTACAAGGTCACACTGGACGCGAGCGTATTCAGTCTTTACCTACACTATAAGCAAGACAGCTTTGCTCTGCTATTCTACTATTTTATGTTAACGTAAAAGCCACTGTCATGGCAGTGACACGCTTTTGAGATGCGATTGACATCGGTCAAAATATCAGTATTCTACTAACATAATTAAGTAATGTTAAATAGACAGTGTTAATAGACTGCCAATGGTTCATCAATGGTTATATCAACAACATTGAAATCTTGAAAATTAAATATATCATTGCCAAACTATTACTTAGATATCGACGACATTTGTATCCGTGGCAATTCAGTGACACAGATACAAATGCCGAATTGATGTTACATAGTTAGTAGAATACGAAAAGTGCAAAACTATTCTGGCGACAGTCTATTGATACAATATTAAAATAGTAGAATTGAGGCCCTTGTTATATGCGTAGAAGAATAATTATAAAGCTTGTACCTAAAGTAAAACTCACTGTACCTACTTACATTTTCCGTCTTCATTACCTCACTATAAACATTAAACTTAAAAAAATATTTGTTTTGATAAATTTGAAGTTTGTATAAAACTGATAATAATATTGAAAATAGAAGAACCAAGTTCACAACAGAATGCTCTGTAATGCTTTTAAACAAAACAAGAATGGCCAAATCACCCGTAGGAGTTCATGATCTAGTAAACAACGGATGTTATACAATATACCAAGCAATAAAAAAAAAAAAGAAATTAAATGAGTTTCGTTACTACACAACATGAAGAAGATGAGAGAAGGGTTTCAAAGCAATTAGTTTCACGTCACACCATTTTGTGTTTAATTATTGCACGCATTTATTTACACATTAGGTTAACGGCAAGAGCGGGTCAGCTTTTAAAATAAATTGTCTGTACTAAACCCTGGACTAACTACATATTACGTTCCGATAACATGGACTTCTTCCTACTTTTTGTAAACCATTGCTTGGTTTATTAGACGTATATTGTAACCCCGACAAAAGTAAATGCGCAATGAATTTAAAATTATTGAAAATGTTACCAAATTGTGTGTAATATAGTAGGAGCCAAGATATTACAAACCCTGATAATTTGTAACACGTATCGCCACTTCTATTTGTACATTTTTGGAGAACAAAGAAAATCAGACCATTGTGTAACATTTTATCCGTGAGTTAATTACAATTTCATTATTTAGGTTAGGAGTTCATTATTTATTTATCTTCATACACTTATGACAGTTTTCTTTCTAAATCATTTATTTTGAGATCTCAAAAATCATGCTGTAATTTTGATGCCAATCCATAAAATTGATAACTATGTTATGAAATCACCCCTACACTTAAGAAAATACTTATGTTTAAAGACTGCAAATGGATCTGGACTGCAATGCATCCTTAAGATGACTACTACTGATCTACATATGAGAATCACATAAATGATTGTCCCAAAGTTGGGACTATTTAAATCAAAGCGACTTGTAGGACTCTACTGTAGGATCTACTGCGATGATGGGGACGTCAACGACGTTAATGTGTTAATTTTTGAAGCTTTCGTGGCAGGCACTACAAGTTGTTATGATAAAAGTGAACATCTCTCTTTGAAAACAACCTGTCTTCAGTTTTATTCCTTTTTTCATACCGTAGTCATTAAATTTTCTAATCAGTTTTTCATTAACAATACAATTTCAACCCTCGGATAAATCGCAAAAGAATAGCATAAGTTCATAAAACAGCTGTGGGTCGATTCTTGTAAAAGTGCTTAAAATGCAAAAAAGAAAATCATATGAAATACATTTTCCATTTGAGAATATTTATTTTTTTCACAACGGCATTGAATTCTTGTAGTATCGACATAGTTTTAAAGTCAGTTGGATCACAAGCATACTATTAGAATATATAAATGACAATAAATTGGTAACTACAGCGATTTCAGTTTTTAAATACCTTAGAAGATAGTATTACTTTTACAATCTATGTAAACTTATATAATGTAAGTATTTATTCTTGAATGTCTTTATTATTGCATTTTATTATTTATGTGTCTATTATTAAGTTTCATTTTAACATTCATATAAGTTTTCGCTAAAAGTATTCGTTCGTTAACGTACAGACATTCTACTTCAATACATATTTTGACACTAAGAGACGAATAAGTAAATATTTGGGTTGTTACGGAAGGTAGATTTTCAGTATGGAGCATTACTTGTTTTATTTCGACAATACCCTGAAAAGTAAAAAAAAAGAATACAACATCGATTAAACACCGAAACCATATTAAACTAAACACTAATCCTACGCTATATATATGTCAGATCAACTACAAACTACCTCACTTAATAAAAATAATTTGATTTATTTAAATTACATTCCAATGGATTATAATTGTAGTTTTTATAGTTAGAGTTAAGAAATAACATGAAGAATCGTATTATCTAAACACAACAAGAAAATACAACACTTAACCTAACAACGTGTAAACACGTGCTCGAACAATGCAGTGTACACAGATCCCCATACAAAGTCAATAGATATGGCGTTCCACAAGGTAGCGTTTTGGGACCCTTATTATTCTTGTTATACATCAACGACCTACCAGATTCAATTAATTGTCAAAGTGTTCTTTTCGCAGAAGATATATCTATAATAGTGCCATATAAGAATAAAGATACATCTCATGAAACTAAAATAAGTAAAGAAGTACAATTGGTATTAGAATGGTTAAAAGCAAAAACAATTTAAATGTAAATCTATCAAAAACAAAACTTATAAAATTTGGTACGAATAGAAGTAAACACTATATTCGTGTACATAAAGATAGAAACTAATACTATAGAAGAAGCTGACAGTATTAAATTTTTAGGTATAACTCTGGATAGATTTTGTAATTGGAGACACATAAATGATGTTTGCCTCAAACTAAGTAGATTTGTCTACGCCCTTAGAAAGCTTCGTACCGTGTCTGATGAAAATACTGCAGGTGTAGCTTATAAAGGTTACGTAGATTCAATCCTTAGATATGGGTTAATAATATGGGGGAATTCGACTGATGTTGATCAAGCCTTTATTGCCCAAAAGAAATGTTTAAGAGCTGTTTGTGGAGTGAGTCCACGTGACTCTTGTAGACCGTTGTTTAAAAAACATAATTTGCTGACATTGACCTGCATGTATGTTCTTGAAGTATCAATCTTTGTTAGGAAATATAATAATTTCTTTAAATTTAGGGGGGATCATGTTACTAAATACAGACCAAGAGATCCTACGAAAATAATGATTCCATTTTGTAGAACATCTTTGATGAAAAAGAATGTGTATCACATGTGCATATCTGTTTTCAATAAACTTCCTAAGAGCCTAAGGGAACTTCCATTTAAATATTTTAAAATTAAGTTCAGAAAATGGCTAGTTGATAAGTGCTTTTATACAATGAAAGAGTTTATGCAATTTAAAACTGATGTATATGATCATTTGTAGATTTAATAAATTAGATAAATTTAATTTAATAAATTAAACACTATGTAATAACATTTTTTGACATTTTGTTAATTTTATTAGTAAATAGTTATTAATGGTTAATGTTTGAGTCTCTATATAAATATTTGCATGCCTAGTACAGGCAGAATATAGCTTGAACATTATACACCTTTGTGAAATCTGGTACCACCTATATTCTGTGCAAATAAATGTTTCTTCCTTTCTTTTTTTGGAATACATCCAACTGTTTCTACTGTTGTCTTTATTTACTACTGTACGGGTCTATGTACAACTGTGTGTAAGAACTTGGTAGACATGTTTAGTTGTATTTACTGTTGTTGTTGTTATTTACTACTACTACTACTTGCTTTTATAAAGGAAGCCATGACAATCTAGTTAAATAGCAAGCTGACGTCACTCTATTTAACACTATTTAACACTATTTAACACTCTATTTAACACTCTATTTAAAACTCTATTGAAATAGAGTGACATCAGTGAAGTTGACAACAACCCAGACATCGGTCCTCCGTCATATAATAATATATAATTTAGTCATATAAAAAAATTCGGAGCAAAGAGATTTGAAGAGGGCAATCCTCGGAGTTTCTCTGCGAATCAGGAATAAGGAAATCCAAAGACGAATCAAGCTCACTGACATTGTATGAAGAATTGCCAAACTTAAGTGATAATGGGCGAGGTACATTATTCGCAGAAATGATGGCTGATGGGGCCAAAAAGTTCTCATGTGAAGCGTGCGTACCGGGAGATGGAGCAGCAGTGGACGTTTTGGGCTGACATTATGAGATGTGTATTGACGTGTATTATGTGTATTGGTGTGTATTGGCGAACAAGCGCTTTTGCCGTACAATAATGCATTACTTTTTTATTTTGCATTACAAAGATTTGGTACACGATCAACGGCCATTTCGTGTGCTTCCTCGCTCCTTTGTACATTATATTTCCTAGGTCCCATTAATAAATTACTCTTGTTAATATCTATTAGCCGTAACCTTTTACTGACTTCCTAACTTCTACAAGATAAATAATAACAGTTGCTACAACTTACCGGAGCGAATGGACATGTCACATTAGATGGTAAATGCTCTCCAAACATTTTGCCAGCAAACGAATCATGTGTTAAAAAGTAGCATAGAGTATACTCAAATCGGAGAGGCGTCAGAATATTACGTCCGCCAATAACTTCATATACATTCGCCTTCATCTAGAAAAATATATGTAATAAATTTATTAGATGACATTAATATGTTTTGTCCTCTGTCAATTATTTCATACACATAGACCATTGTTTGCGACCACTGGTAATTAAAAAGTCAAAGGATTTCTACCGTGAGATTGTCACCAACGTATTGTTTATAGTCTAAATATGCGCTGAAGAAGTACGGTTTGTTGCGACCTTGTCTTTTAATTGATATATTCACGGCATTATAAAAAGTTGGATTGATGTATTCTATCTGAAAGTTTTGTAAATCGAGGTCCGCCATCTGAAATAAAATGAATGTCAAATTATTCAAATATAGTCCGACTAAGATGTTTAGTCGAACACTAAGTAAGCCTGGTTGGTGGTCTAGTGGTTAGTGACTTTTGAGACAGATAAGTTCCTGAATTTAAAAATACTATGTCCCCTAAAAGTAGTGTGTATATTATTGTTTGTATTCAACTCATTTATATATCTAAGTATGCTCTTCTCTACTATTCGTGTTGTCCCTAATACTATGGGAATGTTTTCAGTGGGTGTGTGTTCCATAATCGGGTTATTTATACTTTGAGGGGATGATATTTGCCGAGTTTTTCTATTTCTTACTATATTGTATTTTATTATGCATTGGTTTTAACATCTCAATTTTTATTGGTTTTATAAATAACCCGTACCGTAATCTTCTTGAATAAAAAAATTATAGTTTTAAAAAACTAAAAAACACGCTTTATATTAGCTTCACTTGTATGTTTGTTTGTAACCGACTCCTTTGGGCGTGATTTTGACTGACTTTAAACGGTGAGAATTCGTTCAAACTTTGAAGATATATTGAGGACCGATGACAATACACTAATTAAAAAAAAAACTAGTTTTAAAAAACTAAAAAACACGCTTTCTATAGAAAATCAAACTAAAAAATAGAAAATAAATTTGAAGAAAAGCGTAGGTTGCTTTTAACTATTGACAACAGGCACCCAACGCTTTATTTTTTTTTTTTTTTTTTTTAATTAGTGTATTGTCATCGGTCCTCGATATATCTTCAAAGTTTGAAAGAATTCTGACCGTTTAAAGTCAGTCAAAAGTCAAAATTGCCCGTGTAACTACTTACTTCTCTACATTCCATTGTGTGTTTCAGTTATCGCTTTCTTAATTTCTTCATCTGTGCGTGTGTGTTACCCACTGTGAAATGTAGTTCGTTGTCTATTTCTTGTACTTACTTAATTATTGACTATTTATTTTTTTGGGAGTCTTGTACTATTGCTAGAATAAGATGATAATTTTCTGTTTTTAAGTATTGCTTATATTTATCTATATGTTTTTTATACATACACTCTACATGTATAACAACCCTTGCTCCTTCTGTCAACTGTAAGTATAGCCACTTTACTCCTGACTTTTATTGATGTGCCTTGTTTCTTGCTAATAGTTTTCTTGTTTTGAAGATCACTCGTTTTGTAATTAATAACACCAAATAAATAGAGTAGCACCGGAATAACACATGCAATTATACCTTTCACTATTGAACGCGAATTGAGATGTGAATTTAGCAGCTTTTTAATCCTTTTAAAATATTCTTTGGTTATTTGATCCCTAAATATAATGTGTTCAATCTTTCCTGATTCACATTCCTGAAATGTTTATATCTATTTTCTATTGTTTGTTGAAGCTTTCTCTGCTTAATAGACGCTTATGACTTAGACTAGACCTATATTCATTCGATGACTTGAGCTAATATGTTTTATATTACATTTATCTAACCCAAATCTCATCCCTATGTTTCACTTTCCAATAATATTTTCAAGTTACTACCATTGTTTGCATAGATCTTAAGGTCATCTATGTATGCCAAATGATTTATCCAGAAACTTTTTTTAAGTTTATGCCTTTTCATTTCATATTGATTCAGTATAAATTATATAGGGTTAATAGCTAAACAAAACAATAACGGTGATAGGGAGTCGCTCTGAAAAAAGCCGCGGTTTGATAGTGATCGGTTCTGTAGTTATTGAATCTTGGGAGCCACGGACTGTCATGATCACCCTCCACGAAGGCCTCTCCAGCTGAGGGAACCTTTTTATGATAGATGGACATTAACATATACTAAGTATTTAGAAGTCATTAATACGATTTGCTGTCGCAGGCTTTTTGATAGTATATCCACGTCATGCTTAGGTTTGTTTAGGCTTGGTTTGCATCCTCCAAATTGTTTTTTTTCTAAGGTGATCCTTACATCCCCATGCACCGCGGCGACATCCCCGTTGTTATTGGTATTATGTTGTTTTGATAAACTATTATCAAAACAACATAATTTTAATTACTAAATTGTACAGTAGGTATGTTGGCTGATGGGTCCGCGGGAGGAACCATCAGCCAACATACCTACTGTACGGTTCGCCGCCTCTACTGTGCGGTGATACGATCCATGGCACTCTACGGAGCGCCGATATAGGCCAAGTGTCTATCAGCTAAGCAGCTGGGCAGCGGAAGGGAGGCCGATAGGACGAGCCAGGATTATCGCTTGATAATCCTGGCTCGTTTCTCGCCTTTTGATATCCTGGCGGATATGGACGCAAAGGTTTATGAAAAGACTTCCGCGATCCGCCGTAGTGAGGGTGGGAAACACCAGGACGAGTACGAATTGCGGCGGATCGCTCACTGACAGGCACTGGTGCAGTAGCGAGCGCGGCTGCAACAGTCGCAGAATGCGCGCCAACGCGCTGTCAGTGCCGTTTTACCTAGCCTCGAAGCTTGGGTAGGTAGGTAGGGAGGTCGCGTCACCTACCGACTAACGCAGGTACTCGCTGGGCATGGTTGCTTCGGTGAGTACCTGAATCGGACTGGACGCGAGGAGACGGCACAATGCCAGCCCTGTGCAGCCGACTGGGACTCCACCCAGCATACGCTCAGACGCCGCGTTCTTACGGGGCGTACCCGAAGAGAGATTTTCCACCCCGTCAACAAAAAAAAATACGGCTGCCTGATACGGACGTTAATCATTTGTAAATACTTGCAAACATGTTATCGGTCTGCAATCTTTCGGTTCCTCTATGTTTTCAGTTTTTAAGAATTAAGATAGCCGAATTAAGATAGAATAATATACCGTCATCAGAGTTCGTCCATCGTCCGTTGTCGTCGTTCAGAGTACATCCGGATGGTATTGGTATCGTAAAAAAATCGTCGAAGCCTATATTCCAAATGTATGGACCTAGCACTGATCACACACAGAATGATGACCAAGTCTGACTTTAGTTGTGCCTTGTGAAAAGTATGAAGAGATAAGGAAATAAATAATTTTAAAACACCCTCGTGATTTTAATTTCAGCAATAGCATGGGCCACCATGCGTTGTCGAAGGCGACAGTTATATCTAAGAAAATAGCCAAAAAGGTATTGAAATTTTGACTCGGTGTCAATTTTCCCAACCAACATAACCACATCAATTGTTGATTTCCCCAACATAAAACCAAATTATCTATCATAAGTACACCCAGCAGAAGCCAGGAACTACAAGACGTTCTAAAAGCTTTCATAACGACGGTAACAATGTGATTGGTCAGTAGGATTTAGAATCCAGATAGGATTAGGATTATATTGTACAGATATTTTCACACCGCAAAACACGAGCAAATATTCCTTCTGCAATGTAACGTTTAGAAACAGTAGCTGAAGATTTGGAATTTCAGTTGTATATTGGACAAACCAACAGACAGGTCACCTGTTGATAAGTGACCACCGCCGCCAATCGACACGTGTAAGTAAAAAGATAAAAGTGAATTGCCCTTCGAGTATCTCCTCCTTCCTTTTGAAACGGGGCAGGAAAGGGGGAAAGGGGAAGAAACCTCACTCAATCAGTAAAAAGAAATGAAAGTATATATTTACACGTGAATTCAACCACTATAATCATTATAACATAAACATAATTCTTTACCCTTTTTTTTCATACCCTTTTACGAGAACATTCTTTATCGTAAAAGGGTATGAAAAAAAAACAAGGAAAAAGTAAGACTGTAAAGTAAGGCAGTAGATAACCAGAAAATGTTAGTATCTGTTAAAATGTTTAGAAGTTTAATTTAAAATGGATTACATGTGACACTTATTACTTAGGCATCAATTCTGGTATTTTAATATTGTATGACTAGACTGTCGATAGACTGTTGTCGGAATAGTTTTGCACTTTTCGTATTATACCAACTATGTAAGACCAATGGGCTCCCGATGACTTGGCACTGAACTGCCACTGATACAAATGTCGTTGATATCTTAGTAATAGTTTGGTACCTTTTAAATTTGTTAGGAAATGATATATTTAATTTGCCAGATATGGCAATGTTGTTGATATCACTATCGATGAGCCACTGTCACTACATCCACAGTCGATTGTCACTGGGAATTTATGTTAGTAGAATATCGAAATTTTGACCGATGTCAATGGCATCTCAGTGGCATCTCAATAGCGTGTCAAAGGAATGCACCTACCTAGGTTATTAGGCTAAAGAGACAACTGTACCAAGAATAAGATTAAACACTTACTGAAGCAAATCCACAGATCGAAGATAAAATAATAAAAATCTTCATTATAATTATTGTGTTTAGTTATGTTCACTCTGGGATGATGGATTGCTACTTTCAGTAGATCGTTAAAACGAATACTTTTATTTAGACATAATGATGGCTTCCAAAAATACTATACGGTAATGCATATAAATACACATTAGTTATTATTAAGTAGTTATATCGTATATCGCGGCAGTTAGAACTAAGTACAGGGGATATTTTTGAAATTCAGATCAAAACTAACGATATCCAAAAAGCAAATTAGTGAATATAGTTAAGTGCCAGTTTCTAATCAGAAAATCAAGTGTAGCAAGAAAAAATGTTTGTCATCATCATCAGCTTATCAATCAGATCAATTTTGGGCTTGCCGCATCCAGCTCTTGCCAGCCATATTGCGCAAATCGTCACTCCACCTGGCCTGTGGACGCGATCTCCACTACCAATCACCACTCCACACTCAAGAACTAGTTTTCCCCAAGCGATTTTCGGTTCTGCGGCTAATAAAACCACCACTGCCACTTCAGCTTGCTAATCTCGATGACCTTGGCTCTCTGCCGGTTTTTTTTAATGATTCAATTTTTTTATGGTTAATTTTTTTATTAATTATTATTCTCTTGGTATTTATTTTAGATAATAACAAACACTGTGATTACCTTTGTATAACTTATACGGGAGCGACGTACGACTCATATTGTATACATATAATTTTAAGGAAAAAGAAATGTATTTTAAT